GCGGGGCCCGAGCTCTCGTTCATCACAGTCAACCCGGCGCAATTGTCGTGAGGCTCGTTTTTTTTTCTTCAAACAAGTGGGTGGCGTCAGGGGCGTTGGAGGATTCTGCATTTATTTCTCTCTCTCCCTTTCGAGAAAGGAGCACGAGGACTGGGTTCGAGGTAGAGGACATAGGTAGATACCCAGCAATGAAACATGATATCAAACGATCACATTTCTTCCCAACAGATTGAACGGCAAGTATGCCGCCATCACGGAAACGTTCAGATTATGGAAGTTGATCGACTTTTTTTTTTCCGAGGTCATCCAAATCAAAATGTGCTACCTACGTGACACACTCCTGAGGGCCAGGTCATGTCATGTTTCAGGCCTGGCTCTGACCTGCCCTGTTTGACTGACCCAGCCCCCCCCCTTCGTCTTCCGATTGCCTCAACAAAGGAAGGGAGAAAAACCCAGATAACGGAAAAAGCCCATAACGCCAGGGGAGCAGCCGTGGCTGTCTCCCGCAGAACGCCCACGAACGCGAAACCATCCCATGCAGCCGTCCAGAAAGTGTATTATGCATGTCCAAGAAGAAGAAGAAAAAAAAAGCAGAAAACGAAGAAGAGACACGTCAGAAGAGGGCAGGATCACTCCGCGTATACGAGGATAACTTCCGAACCGCACCAAGGTCAAAACTCGCCGGCCAGGAAAGCCCCAAGCGTCATGCGCCCGTCGAAGAGCGCCGTCCAGGCCTCCTCCGCCCACTGCCGCACGACATGACGTTGCAGCAACTGGGCGGCTACCTGGTGAGCAGCCTATGCTCCCGGTGGATCCGCCGCGACCGGCGCGTTGAGATCGGGAGAGGACTGGGTTACGCCGTCGCCAACCGGCAAGCGCAGGCCGGAGTATGGTCGCAGCCAGGGCGCACTGGGATGACGACGCTCGTCGGTCGGCCCACGCCGAGGGGCGCGCGTCAGAGGGGGCATGAGGGGCTCCTCGCGATCGGTCGTCTCAACGCTGATGCTCCGTTGAATCATGTCGTGGAGAAAGTCGGGAATGTCGCTCCACTGGCCAGCCCTCGCTGCACTCAGCATGCGAGGCGGGAAGAGGGTTGTGGGCATGATGGGCGTGTTGGTAGAGTTGGTGGACTGCATCGTCTGTGGCGTGACAAAGGGCAGCTCGCCAGACTCGATGGCGTTCTTGAGCCACTGCTCCCACTCCTCGTCGAGGACGGTGGCGTGCTCGCCTGCCTCGCGGCGGGCGACGCGCTCCCTGAGTCGCTCGTTGAGGGCCGTGCCCACGCTCTCCATCTCCTCGTCTGTGTCTTCGCCCTCCATGTCCTCATCGTCGGATGCTGCCTCCGTGTCTGCAGTGCGGCCGCGGCTGGCGGAAACCAGAGGACGGTCTTCAGGCTCGACCCACTCGGAGAACTCGTCGGCGGCCGTGTCTCTGATTGTGATGCCCTGTTCCTTCTCGTAGCGCTCCTTGGCCCATTTTGTGCCCTCCCATTTGGTCAAGTTGGCGATCTCGTTGGGCGTGAGCCGCAGGCTGTCAAAGGCGCGGAAGAGGCGACGGTGCCAGGGCCACCTGCTCAGTCGGATTCGGTGCACGGGGTTGCAGTAGTCGAGGCCAGGA